GTCTTAACTTTTTTCTTTTCTCTGTGATTGGTTCAGGAAAAAAAACATACCATCCTTCCAACCAATCAGATGCTTTACCTAAAACAGTCACAATGTCCTACCTTGGATTTTTTCTGAGCTTTAAGTGCTTTACTTGTTTTAATTTTTTGCTCCCTTATGATATTAACCTTCATTCTGACTTACTGGGAATGTGAATTACGTTGGTTTTTGTTTGACAAAACTTAATCAGAGTGTGCCCTAACTAAACTAGTCTAGTGTATTGCTTAATTTGACTTCACTGATTTGGCTTAAACTAACTGCACAAACTTCACGTGCACAATTGAGCAGTCACCTGCATTGTAATGGAGTGATTTTTAACATATTTTTCTTATTACAGACAGAATAGATGACTTGGACATCAGAGTGAAGCAGTTTTTCATGAACTGCCGTAAGGCAAAGCCAGAGTGGAAAGAACAACAGTACAAACAAATCAGAGATGTAAGTTACAATCATTGATAATGAATTATTCAGAGTCAAAACTTTCAAATTTTTTCCAACTCAGAACAGTTTAGTTCTTTATTTTGCTTTTCAATGACATGCAAAGTATGGACCTGGAGATACACTGCTGAAAATGCATTGAATGCTGCTGTTGGCCATGCTGTTGGCTTGCAAAAGAAACCCAGGCTACATTCTCTAGTGAGGAGTTGATTTTTCCAAGTTTTGATTCCAGGGTTTTAATCACTAATTAAATAATGCTTAAGGTCAGCTAGAGATGACATCACAAGTTCAACTCTGATCCTTAGAATTTCTATGTCATTGAAAAGTGCAGTAAAATAGTGATTTCTCCCCTTCTTGACGTGTTTTTTTGGGAGTGTTTTTTGTTTATCTTATCTTTGTTTATTTATTTATTTTTTTAAGGAGTATCTGAAAGCTGTTGAGGATGCTGATGAAAAAGTTAGCATAGCAACACAGACATATGATTTGGTAACATTTTTAAATTATTAATTTGTATTTACAATTAATATTAATAATTAATGGTATTAATAATTAATGATACTGTAAATAATAATTTTTTTAATAATATTATATTATTATTTCATTGATTAATAATTACCAATTATGATAATTATGATACTATTATGATGTTTATTCAAACCTTTTGCAGAGAACTGAATTACAGTTTTTTTACAATGAGATGTTGTTAAGGTTGAGAACAGATGTCGGCATTTTCTCAGGCGCCTCTGGCAGCTGCTTCAGTCCATATAGATCTCACCTTCCCACCCATCTCACCCCAGGGGAGGACATCCATCACACAGTAATCTCGTGTGTGGGAAATTAACATCTCCTACCCCAACCTGCAGGAGATGGGACCTCCATTTATTCGTCCCTATCTGAGAAGACTAGAATATCTAACCATTTCTTGATGTTATAGAAAGGTAGCAACTTCTTCTCAATTATTTCAAGACCTTGAGTGTTGGTCCGGCCAGGGCTCGAACCCTCGACCTCCCGCACAACAGTCCAGTGCACTATCCATTGGGCTAACTGGGCCATTGGGCTAACTGTGCAATGACAACAATTCAATTGTTGTCATTGCACAGTTGCAGTTGTTGTTGTTACCATGGTTGCTTAGAAAGGGCACAGATTTTACAGAACATGTACATTGTCTTTATCAATTGCATGCATACAGTACTATGTGTACAAAGGCATAAAGTTTAACCTCTGGCTTTATTTTAATTATGTTCTCTAAGGTGGACAGACACTTAAGAAAATTAGACCAAGAGCTGTCCAAGTTCAAATTGGAATTAGAAGCAGATAATGCTGGTATTACAGAGATACTGGAGCAAAGTAAGTGAACTTCAGTCCAGTGTAATAGAACACAAATTCATCATTTTGAAACAGTTGAGGTTTCCAGTGTCTGCAAGGAAAAAAAGCTGTATCCCACCATATACCTTAATTTATGGATACACTTTTTATTCGATAGGATCTCTGAGACTTGACGAACCTCTCAATCCACCTTCACCTGCAAGGAATAACCACATACATGGATCACTGCAATTAGCTGGGCACAGTAAGTTGTACTAAATGGTGGAAACCCAAGGGTTTGAGTATGGTCCTGAGGCCGTGCTCAAGAGCAAGGGCACAGTTTTTACCTAAATGCTCTGACCTCGACTAGAAATTTTTTTTTGTCTGGTCTGCTTTGTTACCACTTTGCGGCAAATGGAGTGGAAAATATTCCAGACTGTGGTCTGTATTGCAGACGATTAACCAATGAGATTTGTAGATATAAGATTCTGGCCAGCTGAGATGCCTTAGAAAAAAAGGAAATAATTTTACTACCCTTACTGGAGAGGAATGGAATGAAATGGAATTTATCAGCCAGGAATTTATACACCAGTGTCCTATATCAGAAGAGGGGAATTACATGATCTTATTAATAATTTTCCTCACTATCTGCTATACAATTCTTGTGATGTTACTTTGGAGAATTTTGAATTGGATCAACTAATAATCTCCTTGTTGATATTTTCCTTTATTCTCATCACTTGTCTGCTTGATATTGTATTGATATTGTTGGGAGAAACTCTGTCTTGGTCACTCAAGAGGGTTAATTTAGGATTAGCATCAGCTATACATGTTGATTCTCAGTCTTAAAATCCTTCTTGTCCCTTTCCATTACAGAAAGGAAAGCTCCTGACAGTCTCTCTAATGATTTGGTCAACGGAGATCACTTATCAATCCCAGGGATGCATGATTATGCATATAGCTCCCTTGGAGCCTACAACCAGATGTCACCATCACCAAAAACAGTTGCACCCCAGTCTCCATCGTCTTCTCCAAGATCTTACACATTAGGTGAGCAAACCAAGCTTGCAGCAGTGCTTGGTCCTTTTCTCCCCTTAGATCTAGATATCAATTCTTTAAACACTAGACTTCTCTTACAATTTTGACACGGACAATTTGTTGTAAAATCAAGTGGTGTCCTTGCTTCGGTAGAATTCTTAGTCCGCCTTTCTGCTGAAAAATATATTGATTTGGACATTAATTTTTGTCACACCTGGAAATGAAGGCATTAAACAAAGTTTATTTGAAAAACTTGAATACACACGGGTCTGGACAGTAGTACATCACAAATGACGTCAAAACGTAGTAATACACTTTTAGAGAGATTTAGCACCGCTTTTACGTGAAACGGCAAACGTCAGCTTGCCCTTTCACACTTCACGCAAAATAGCGCGAACCTTGCTGTTTTAGCTTCGCGTGAGCTCACGTCACGGTGGATTAGAAAAGCGCCTTTATATCACTCACAAGAAATAGTTTAGGTACCCTTTTTCCGGCAATCAACTTCTACTGTGAGAGAAAAATTCAAGAAAATCTTACGTACACGGCAAACGCTAAACAGGTTACTTTCACGTAGAAACGACAAAGCGCGACCGGCAAACATGAAAACATAGCGGGAATCCAAGGCCACTTGGTGACTTATGCCGTTCACGTTGACTTTTTTTGTTTTTACCATATTTGGGTGCGTTTAAAGAGTTAATAAATGCAAGGAAACATCATGGAAGCACACTGCATTTATTTATTGATGTATTTGTTTCTTCCCTTTTTTCAGGTTCAGTCGGAGCGGGATCAGCTGCAGTTGCAGTTGCTGCAGCGCAAGCAGTAACGACAACCCTTCAGATGCAGCCTGTGAGGAGAGGCAGTGGAGCCTTGAAACCTCCGTATGCCGCAGCCTTAGGTGAGTGTACTGATTTCTTAGGTCTACTATTTCCAGATCAAGCATCTTTGCCATTTCTTCAAAATTCCACGTTGTCACGAAGAAACTAACCTGCAAAGCAGCCGTGATTTTGGCGAGCGAGCACCCAGTATTTTCGTAGCCAAAATTATGGCCGTCGTCGTTGATTTTTAGTGGAAGCGGAAGGCTGGGGAGAGAAAGAAATTTGTACCAAGGGGGTGAGCAACAGTAAAAAAAATAAGGAGGGGGGGAGGGTGGGGCAGTGAATATTGTTTTCGCCCCTTCCCACCCCCTACCCCTACCGTCACTTTAAATCTAAACTAGACATGGCCAGTTGAATAAACGATCGAGTGCTTCTTTGAAATCGCTCTAATAAGATGCTTGCACTGTAGGCTACGAAGAAACTGACATGAATTTTTAGAAAAGAAATCGAATTTGTTAATGTGTAATGAAAATATTTCAAGGAGCTCATTGGCTTCGGAACTCGATGCTTGTTGAATTGTTGCTTTCTATCCTTGAAATAAAACTGTAGATATTTCTTGCCAATTTTTTTTGAAAGGTCATTAATTTTCCTTTTTCAGGCAGTTCTTTGAGCTCTTTGTCCACCCCACCAAGTGGTTTGAATGGTCTCCCTGCCAGTAGTTCCCTGGGGATGCCGTTTGACTCGGCATCCTCCAATGTAAACTCTGTCAGTATTCCTGTTACTCCAAGTGACGTACATGCATCAATCAGTGTGGCGCCAACATCGACGAAACAAAAGAAAAAGTAAGTATTTAGGGTCCAGTTGGGACCTGTTTCTTGAAGGTCACGATAACATATTGGGCCCGCAAGGCTGTTCCGTTTTCATTCAAGATGAGGATTTAACTGAAACGTTTTGAAAATTATCCAGTAAAACTGTCAGCTAAAGAAACAAAGTCTGTTCAGGGAGCCAGAACCTGCGTTTCTCTTCTTTAAATTTTGATTCTAAAATATAGCTTCGGGCCCGTTAATTTACTGGGACTTTCTAGAAACGGGCTTCAGAACTCTAAAGTTTGAATTGAATTGTATGTGGTGTGGTGTTAGGATTGTTTGCGTTGCTTTTAGGTCGCGTAAGGTTTTGTTTTCAGCTCCTGTGAGCACTATTTTGAATTGTACTTTTTTTCACAGATTCTTCCTTTTTCTTACGGTTGTCAGCATCTGGGCACGAATAAACGCGTACAGCTTCTCTTTGGCCTTCGAGAGAAACAAGATACTTTGTATATCTCATGAGAAGTACGAATTGCTTGAAGAACGAAGGCTTACCAAACAAACGAAAAAATCATTGTTACCTAACATCCAGATTTCAAAACTTACTGGTCAATTTAGATAAATAAGGGATCATTTCCTTTTTTTTCACGACCTTAACTTTTGATTCAAGAGTGATACTGTATGAAAAAACTAGAAGCCAGTCGCTCCTAAGGGTCGAAGGGTTCATTCCGCGTAAATCGGGGTAAGCTCGGGTTCTTTGGGTCACTAGAATCAATAGAAGATGTAAGCATTACCCTTAGTTGACCGTTGACGCGGTGACTTTGATTTTCTCTTTTGTCGTTCACAGAAGTAAAAATTCCACACAAGTCACAGCAGTGGCCTCGGCGCAGGTCGCTGAACAAGAGGCAGCCGTAGCAGCCGCCGCTGTACCGGACTGGGTGTACGACCCCAATGAACCACGGTATTGCCTCTGTAATCAGGTGGGTGAAAAGTTTTTAGAGTAGTTTTCACATGGGTGTCGGACGCAAACCGGAATTTCTTCGGTTTTGGATTACCTCGCTCTGTGATTGGTCCAGAAAACTTGTGTCACTTTCTCAACCAATCAGATTCAAACGAAGGGAAATCGCCGCCACGTGACCACTCGCTTTTTCCCCCGCTTCAGGCAATTTGCTTGTTCGTACATTGACTTTTCATTGGTTCCCTATGATCTTTTATTTCTTGTGATTGGATGTTGCAATTCCTTTAATTTTGGAAAAAAATTTTGTTTTACATCTTTCTTATTTATGTTTACTTATAGGTCTCATATGGCGAAATGGTGGGATGTGATAACCCTGATGTGAGTTTTTGTTTTAACGTCGTTAAACATGTTAATTACCAATATCTGGTAATTAGAAACATTTTGTTCCTTTCGAATCGCCCTCTTTACTCCTTGTAAGCTTACCAGTTTTCTCGTACCCGTGGAAGTTTCGCACTCATTCGATTGGTAACCTACTAGGATCATAACCGCCTCCCGGTTAGCTCAATGGATAGAGCGCTGGACTGTAGTGCGGGAGGTCGAGGGTTCGAGCCCCGGCCGGACCAACACTCAAGGTCTTAAAATAATTGAGAAGAATTTGCTACCTTTCTATAACATCAAGAAATGGTTAGATATTCTAGTCTTCTCGGATAGGGACGAATAAATGGAGGTCCCGTCTCCTGCAGGGTTGGGGCAGGAGACGTTAATTTCCCACACACGAGATTACTGTGTGATGGATGTCCTCCCCTGGGGTGGGATGGGTGGGTTAGGACAGCAGGTCCACATCAGCTATTACAGCTGCCAAATTAATCAACCTGCTAAAACAAATAAATAAATGATAATGATAATGAAAGGATGGACCCGTTATTGATTGTCTAGCCATTAATTGTTAAATACTTGCTCAGGTGATTGTCAGAGGACTTTTGACTGTCGTCTNAAGCTAACCGCCTCCCGGTTAGCTCAATGGATAGAGCGCTGGACTGTAGTGCGGGAGGTCGAGGGTTCGAGCCCCGGCCGGACCAACACTCAAGGTCTTAAAATAATTGAGAAGAATTTGCTACCTTTCTATAACATCAAGAAATGGTTAGATATTCTAGTCTTCTCGGATAGGGACGAATAAATGGAGGTCCCGTCTCCTGCAGGGTTGGGGCAGGAGACGTTAATTTCCCACACACGAGATTACTGTGTGATGGATGTCCTCCCCTGGGGTGGGATGGGTGGGTTAGGACAGCAGGTCCACATCAGCTATTACAGCTGCCAAATTAATCAACCTGCTAAAACAAATAAAAAAAAATAAATAAATGAACTTCAACTTCGTATTCAGTCAGTTTAGTTGTTTAGGGTAACTATTTCAAACTGTCAATACGAAGTTTTCTTTCAAGAGTTGTAAACAATCATAAGCCGAAAAGTCTTGGTGCTTGAAAACCATACAACATTTTTGTCAAAGCGCACAGTAAAACGGTAAATTATCACGAAACCTGTAATAGGTGGTTTCCAACCGATCTCTAGAAACACAGGTAACAACGGTGAAAGCATAGTTAGGAACAAATGCTGGTGGACGAACAAACGAAGCTAATGAGATATCTATTGTTTACGTCCACCAACATGGCGGCCATGACGTAACGTGCAAACCACCTATAAGGGAAGATTTACGTACGAAAAGTCTTAGGTTTTCGTTTTCCTTACTTTTGCTTTTTTGACAATTTTCTGGAACTCTTTAATATTTATTGGCATAATTTGCGTGACAGCGGTTGTTTCTCACGTTTCTTTTTGTATTTTGCGCTGGAGATCGGCGCGCGGCCGACCCAAAATTTATCTCCTCGCGCATACCCTACATTTGACCGCCTTGTTTACGAAATACCAGGTCTGGGACGGGGTTACCAAGAGAACTTCGTTCGGTGAGATCTTCAGGGTTTTGCTTAGGGTTAGAATGTTGGGACGGATACGAATCGACTAACGGGTCGGGTACGAACCTGCACAGACTAGATACGAATCGTCTAAATTTGGGTACGAATCAACTTGGAACAAAAGAACTGGCTAAACCTCGCAAGCTTACTACATCAGCGGTTGAAGCAACTCCTAATTGTGCGGTCTGTTCACGTTTCAGTGTGCCATCGAATGGTTTCATTACGGATGTGTTGGATTAACAGACGCTCCCAAAGGAAAATGGTTTTGTCCTCAATGTCAAAATCAAATGAAACAACAGAAAAGAGGAGGTAGACACAAATGATATACATACAGTAATGCAATTATGGAAAAGCCAGCGGCGATAGATGTAATGTGGACCAACGTGACATTGAGCGAATGGTGTTGCGTTACTATTGTGTCGCAATGTGTTATGTGACGAAGCCATTGGCGTTTAGGCAACATGTTAGGGGCTGCTTACAATGCCAAACAGAAAAACACACATTAAGGGAAGAAAATGAAGATAAATGAAAAATTTTTAGTCCGAAGAATACTTCCAGTTCCTGTAAGACTAGCGAATTTGTTATTGAAAAGTGGAAGGACTGGTTTGCGATCTACAAGCGATACAGTCAGAGGTTAAAAGCAAAAAAAGGATGTAAATTTGTCTAATAGCATACTCAATGTAAGTTGTACAAAACGTTTATTTGCATGCATTCTGGCCAAATAGTTCTGAATCCATGTCTTCATACAAAGACGAGAATAAAAGAATGAAAAGGATTTTTAGCTGAGGTACTTATGATCATTCCTCCCAACAACTCTTTTTTAACTTTTGCGTGAAAGCTATTAGCCAAATTT